TAAATTTACGAGTTAATATCTTTATTGTAGGGGCAGCATGGTGGTGGGCACTGTTGCCTCACAGCAAGAAAGTCTTGAGTCAGGCTGGAGTCTTTCTGTGTGGAGTTTGCATGTCCTCCCCATGTTTGCGTGGGTTCTCTCCGGGTACTCCGGCTTCCTCCCACATTCCAAAGACATGCAGTTAGTGAGGATAGGTTAATTGGTAACCCTAAATTGCCCATAGGCGTGAATGTGAATGCAAATGGTTGTCTGTCTCTATGTGCTAGCCCTGCGGCAGACTGGCGGCCTGTCCAGGGTGCACCCTGCCTCTCGCCCTAAAACAGCTGGGATAGGCTCCAGCCCCCCGCAACCCTGACAAGGATAAGTGGAAAAGAAAGGATGGATGGATGTTTATTGCACTACTTGATGCTGCCATTACAGTGAAATAAAATGTATTGATTGAACATTCCTGGTGATAAACAGCCGACAAACGGACTGATTGATTTTCTAATCTGTGCTCTAGCGGCTGCAATTCCAGCTGCACAGCAGATTACCCCTTAACAGGCTACAACACACAAAATCTCTGTGTGCAAACTCATCCTGCACAATCAGGAGTTGAGTAATCAAACTTGGCAAACAGGAACATTTTTGGCCCTTGAAGATTCTTATTTACGTCAGGTATCATGACTTCATCATGCTGCCCTGAGCAACCAGATACAAGTGGGCTAAAATTACTTTTTTGTAGCATATATGCACTTACAACATGTTATAAAAGCATGAAACGAGTCTACTTTTACGATAAAAACATGCATTTTATATCCACAAAACTTTCGTTATGTATGATAGATCATCATCATTATCATCGTGTTGCCTAGCAACCACCCAACACCAAATCACAGACCATACAGAATACAGCAGCAGTGGTATGTACCACCCTCTTATTCTCCCCTGCTGCTCCTGAGCCACAGTTACTAAGGGGCTCATCATGACAGCATGTCTTCACTGATTAACAGCAAACTTCCAGGAACAAAACAGGACAAGCAATCATCAAAACATCAAAATCAGTCTAATGAACAGAACAATGAACAGCTACTAGTGAGGGTCATGGTGAGACCGATTTACTAGCTGATGTTATTGTAGAAACACTTTAGATATCCAAAAGCACATTTTTGAGTTCAAATCAGTGATACATCATCTGTGTGTCACTCCAGCAGGGTGACATCATGCAGCCGAGTGCTGGTCAAACTGGGATTTTTTTTTCTTTTAATCTTTAATGAAAAAATGCTCAGTGAATATCCATCCACCTACCCACTCACCCACACACACACACACACAGACTAATCACCACACAGGATTGTGAGTAGGTCAGATGGCGTCGTCCACTCCTTCATATTGGAGCAGTCATGAAAACTGATTTTTTGTCTCCACACTATCACAGCCGAGGAAGTGAGCGTTCAGGGTGACGTTAATGAGGGGAACGTGGAAAGAGAAACACGAGAGTTGGATGGGAGTTTTCTAAAAACATTGATTTTAAGATTGATTATCAGTTACGGCTGTTTCTGCAGTTATGATCTCAGCATTAAGTCAGTCATACTGAGAAGGATTACTGTGCTTTCCAGCTCTCCCTCCTCTTCCTCCTCCTTCGCAGCATAAATGGTCCAGAATAGGAGATATTTTTCTCATCAGGGTCAAAGTCAGCACAGAGTGTGGGAGTGGAGAGTGAAGTGACAGCCAAAAGCAGAACTCACAAGGTGTAAAAACACTGTAGTAATGAATATTTTTATCAATATTTTTATGCACGTAATGTAAACCATCCTCATCCAGGTTTTCCTCATAGTCTGTGTTGGATCTGCAGTACCAATACCATGTGACCACCATGAATTTAACGACTGAACTGGATCCAATTGGGAATTTTTGGAAGAAAGCCACTCCAACCTGTTCAGCATTTTTCTACAGCACCGAGGAGGGTGGAGTATACAGGGGGTGGAGGTAAAAATGAAGATAGAAACCACCTCTGTTTTTGGTTTCAGGTGGTGGAACGTAAACAAGCACATTTACACAAATTCTATACTTCAGACAATATGCAGATATACTTTAAGAAGTATTTTTTTGCCATCCTTGGGAGAATGGCATGTTCTGTTTTGTTTGAATACTCTCCAATTTGCTATGATCATGCAGACAAGTCATCATAATTATTACTCCACAAGCATACCAATTGCACTGGAAAGTAGTTTAATGTGAATAAATACAGGTTCATGGTCTCATCTAGAGAGTGAAGTCTTTGACATATGGGTTACTTAAACTGATTTTACATTTGTTACAGGAATTGGCACTGAAATGCGGTGAGACGGCATCAAAACGCTCTACAAAAGCAGAGAGATGACAGATAAACACAACCCTCTGAGAGTTATTGCTGTGCATACCTGTACCCTTAAATATAAGACCTCATTGATTCTTCCAAATCCGGGTCAAAGTACACATAAAAACAAAAGTAAAACTAATAGTCTTACTTGAGCATAAATTTTCATTTGTTTCAGGGGGAACTCAGTAATAAGATAAACCCGATCTGCTTTACTGTCACCCGTGTGATGTTATATTGCTCGGTTTTATTGAAACTACTAATTCAAGTTGCTGTTCTGAGTGAGGTGTTTCAGCTTTGACTAGAAATCTAAACAGTAACACGTTTCATTACAGTAAATCAATTCAATAACAGGGACGGAGCCACATAACCAGTAACAAGAGCCTATTAAGGGGCTCTGAGCGCAGACCGCACATACAGACATAACTGGACTTAGGTAACAATTTTTTAAGGACATCTTTTTTCCTCTGACTGTTGTACCCACAGAAATACGTTCTAACAGTTTAAATTGTAATCATTTTATACTTCAAGTCGTTTTTCCAGTTACAAATTAAAACATATAAGAGTTCCCCTGATGAAACTACGACACTCATGCCCGAAAGACCGAATGATAATAATAATAAAAAAAATTCCACAAATGTTCATTTCTTGCAATGGGATACTTGAATTTTGTATAAGAAATAAATTAGTCTTTTTGCTGCATGTGGTTCCTGCTTTACTCACACACACGTGTAACCACGCAGTTACTCCTGTACTGTCACCTTACACTATCTTCAAAGAGGAAGAAGAGGAGGAGGGTCATCAGAGAGCCGGCCTCCCCTGCAGGCTCATGTGGCAGCTGTTTTTAGCTGAACAATGGTCAGTAAAGGTTTACTAAAGGCAGCCAGCAGCGGCGACTGTATCCACGAGTCCTGCTGACGCAACGCTGACAATTAGGTCAGCCCATCGCCCGATTCAGTGACCGAAAAACCAGAATAAATGTGGAGGCAGCAGAGAGTCGTGGAGGAGGGGATGAGGAGGAAGGATGCTGCCTTTTGGGTACCATCACGTTGGCTGCTCGCCTCTTGTCGCGCTGGCCTGCTCTACATATGCGTCTAAAAATTACTCTACCCTCCCCTCTCCGCCTGTCAGTGTGGTGATCAGCTCAGCCTGTGATGGCACGGCTACCCTCAGAGCATCGTGCGATTATTAATCTGACGCGCACATGAGAAAAAAAAAGCGAAAACATGGGATCTGAGAAGCAAATACTAGTGATGCTGCTGGAGCCGAGCTCTCCCTGTGCCAGAGCTCTTGCATCGTAAAACATCCTCAACCACAACAAATATCACAAATAAATACAATAAATGATGATTCCTACCTCCGTGCTGTCCTCTGTTAGCCATCATAGGATTGGATGAGAGGGGGTTGCAGGTGCAGGGATGCAGAGCGACGCCCAGAGAGACGGAAACACGGAGACATCACTGCACTGATCACATTTAAACTCAATCCGACGAATAAAAGCGAGAAAACACGCTCACCTGTCTTTACCGGGATCCGGCTTTTGTACCTAATATTGGACGTCATGTTCACCGTTCTCCTCCCGAATTTCACCGAAGCGGCGGCTCACAGACAGCGGACCCTCGCCTCCAAACCCCCGGACAGACAGGAGGAGGGCGGGCCGAGCTGACACGACACATGAAAACCACTCCTTCCTCCTCCTCCTCCTCACAGACTCAGCCAAACAGCAGGAGGATGCTATGAGTGTCAAATCCTCAGTAACATCCGTTATTAAGTAACCCTCACTTCTGTCTGAGCATTAAAGCTATTTTACTTATGCTTGAAATCACTGGACCCAACACGTGAACACATATTTACCTGATGAACCTACAAAAGTTTGCCTTGTTTTTAGTGTCCTCAATGAAACATTCATATTTTTTGTAACCTTTGTACCTTTTATTTACGTTTTATTTATTCACCTTGAAAGTCCTCAGTGTGACCTAAGGTTTTACTATTTATAACTATCTGCTCCCCTTGTGGTTACGTCTTTGCGGTATGTGCAGATTTACATTTTTACATTAAAAAAATCATTATAGAAAGAAATAAAATTGATAAATTCACAAAGGTTAATAGGATTTACTTTTCTTGCTGCTGGACTTTGTGCCAGCAACTTCATAATGAACAAATAATAATAATAATCAAAGAAACGTCTGGAACGACTACCTCTTTGAAATTTCTTCCTATGCCTGTTCTCACGGTGAAATGGTTGCCCCACAGTAACAAGGTCCCTAGTTTGAACTTCCTGTTTGTCTCAGACCTACGTGGGCTTTCTCTAGCTTGTTGGGTTAATTGGTGGTTTCAAGCTGAATGTGTGTATGTTGCTGTCTCTCTGTTATCCCTCCTTTAGACAGGCGACCCAATCCAGGGTGTACTGCTCCTCTCACCATGTTACAGCTAAAATTAGCTCCTGCTCCCTAAACAAACTTAATGTGAATAAGTGGACAAGAAAATGGATGTTATGAGAGTTTCCTGTGCAAGACAGATGTCACATTTTTTTCTACATGTTACATAGGAAACCAAACTGAAAACACAGACAGTCACACGTTTTAGAAACAGTAACAGTGCCAAGTCATGTCGATCATGAGTCTCAAAGGTACCCCCTGCCCCCAAATGAGCAAATGTCAACTTTTGTTCTCTTAACAAATTTTATTTGAGACAGGAAATACAAAACATGTCGACATCTACAAAGTCTTAACTGACACATTAATAAGAAATAATGGCAAATGAGTGAAAGCACGATTAAACGGCAGTGCTGGGGAAATGTTAAGGTCTGCTGTTCACAGTGGGCTGGAGGGAGTTTACACACAGCTCAGTTACATATTTAAACTGAAATGAGTGAATACAGTAAGTTGAAAAGCTGCACATGCAGTGTACAAGCTGACCGTTTTATACATGAAATGATGTCACTGAGACAAACCTGGGAACATTGTAACTTACAGTACTGATTGATTAGTTTTCAGTCTGAAGTTATAGTTTGGCACATTAAAACCAGGTATTACAGATACATTAAAAAAAACAAACCAAAAAAAATCCTGAAATTCTAAAGCCTGGAGGGTTTGCATTAGTTTTAGCTGTTGGTTATACAATAAAGTTTCTAGTCTAACACATTTAGGAAAACCAGATTTGGTTTACCACATGTATCTATCTCTGTGGTAATTATAGCGTTATCAGGCTGAAGCAAACAGGCACTAATGGTTATTCAGAGGTGAAGGTGATGGGTGAGTGATGAGTAACCAACAGAAAAAACGAGAAGCAAACTATTTGTACCTTTAAGTGAATGAGTTCAAACCCAATAGCAGAATAAATGGAAAATAATGCATTGTAAAGTTTTGACCTGTGAGGTGAAACTCACAGTTTGTATATTATGTAAACACGTGTGTGACGGTAAAACCACTCGGTACCGCTGTCACTGTCAACGCTGAGGATAACAACTAAGATGGCTAAATAGCAGATAAATCATAATCACCCAGTATTCAAACATCGTCGTCATAACTTGTTTCTTTTTTTATCCACTCCCACAAGGAGACTAGTTTGAATGTGGAGTCTTGAAGAGACAGAGCTGCCAAACAGCCGATGGATGGAAGAATGGAGGGAAGAAGAAGAAGAGGTGGTGGTGGTGTGCACATAGATGATGTGGTTCTGGAAACTGGCTCCTGGTGGGCCTGCAGAGTGGCAGGGCTGGACAACTAAGTGTATGCATGTGTGTGTATGCTTTATGTGTATGTGTGTGCTGGTGGCTTGGGTCAAAGTGCTTCCCTTCACCTCCGACCCTTTTAGTCGTCCGACTTCATCTTCATCTGTGCCTGCATCTGCGCGATCATCTCCTGCATGCGTCTCAGCTACAGAAAGAGAAAGAAGATGAAAATAAAACCCCATTGAAGTTTTTTTTCAAGCAGTGACCACTTTCACATCAGTATGTTTCATTTAGTTTGGTCAGATTTAGGAAACCAAACTATCGATATAAACTTATCAGAAGGTCGTGGACTGGGGTTAAAATACACACATATCTGCTGATTCAGTGAGCCTTTCTTAGAATATCAGCTTGTGGCGAAATGTAATGTGTGACTTCAAGACCTAATGTCTGCTTCAAAGAGTACTTCTCCTATTTCACACACACCCAGAAAATATTCACATATTAACAGAAAAGAAAAAATAAGCCTTTTTTCTCTTTAATAATAAAATATTTTAATTGTTTTAAGCTTAAGAAATTGGAGGACTTTCTCATCTGACAACAGTATAATTCACTCAGTATTTAACTAGGCTAAAGCAGCCAAATAACTGCCATCTGAAACAGCTTACAGAATAACATTTTGTTTACACAAGAAAAAAAAAAGTGTTTGTTTAGTCACCATTTAGTCAAATAGAGAGTATTTATATCAGCTATAATGTCAAAAAGCTTAAAAATAAATAAAGCATAAAATCAATGCAAACTAATAAATGAATAATTGCTACATGTTAAACGTTAAAGAGTAAAAAGCACTAAAACAAAGGCAGTACTTAAAACTAACAGTGAGGATGCGCTACAGAAGGATCACAGGTGTTCTTATTAAACAGCAGCTCTCCTGTTAATATCTCTCGCCCTCTTGTGGCAGAGCACAGAACTTCAAGCAGTTCAAGCCAGATTATTTTTTCTCAATAGGTGAAATATGGTTGTTTCCACAGAACTAAGAGACTGAAAAGTCTGCTACTGTATAGTATTATGTTGTCTAAAACAAGGGAAGATGGCATCTTGCTGCAACTGAATTACCTACTTAGAAAGTCTAGTTTAAGCCTCCTGTGGGCTGTTAACTCTACTCCAGCTCTGACTGTAAGGAAAACAAACCCTAAAGTGTCAGAAAATGTATATTTAACCCTAACCGTAAGAATGTATTGAGCTATTTGCTGAATTTGCCTGAAAATTTAAGAAAAACAAATTTGACATTACTGCACATTGAACTGACATTCATACGGTGCATTATCCGATCATTGAATGTGACACAACTCGGAACTCCTAATCAGTTCTCAGTACACAACTACTTCCAAGAACCTCTCATGTAAATAACAATTACTTATTCATTTACTCTGGGACCTTTTAGGAATCTAGGGAGTATCACAGGTCATTGTGATATTTCCTCCCAGCAAAACCTCTCACGACATCTAAACAAATCAGCCAAACAAACGATCCCTCTGGCTTTGTGGCTTTGGTTCCTAACGTTACTGAGGTTGTTCCCACCATAAAAAACACCCAGGCAGGAAGTGATGGCATATCCTGCTTGGAGACATTGTTTACAAACAGCTCTGATTGCACCCCACCTGCTCACTATGGTGCCCTGCTGCAGTAACAGAAAAAGGCCAATCAAAGGCAATCAGGAAACAGGTTATGACCTGATGACATGCAGGCTCAGCGGCCCATAAGGTTAACAATGCATATCGAGTGAAAATAAGAATGTTTTTGCATTCCAACATACAACCAGACAGAAAAACAGGCTGCTTTCCTGGTTTGCATTTGCAGCTTCTAAAACTGTGGTCATGACTTTTGAAAGCACGTTATGTTACAGTGCTGCAGGCTCAGTGTGATTCTGCATTTATACCTGACTATACACCGAGTGCCAGAGTTGACCTACTTGAGTCATCAAATCCTCGTGTGCTGTCTGAACACCATGTCAGCCATTTTTCACCCTGAAATATTCTACTGAACTGTTTTCAAGATGAAACGATCAACTGAGCCTTTCTACATTTACAGATTTATGGCTCACAGACATCATGATTTCACTGGGAAATCAAGCTACTTTATGCTTTTTATTTATGCTTTTCATCTGTGTAGTTCTGTTACTTTAACAAAAAAAGAAAAAAGAACAATGATAGAAATCTTTTTTTTAACCTGGAAACACACACGTGAAAATATGTTATGAGTGCTGAATTGAAAGCCTGGAACATTGATTTAGTTTGGACAAATGTGAAGCACCGTAAACAGCCTTAGCCTTTAATGTATGAATAAAGTTTCATTTACTTACAAAGGTTTACAGGTCACATTATTTCTCTTTAAAACTGAACAGGTTTCTATGTAGTTTACAAAGAAAATGAAAATTTGTATATATACTTGTAATGATGTAAGACTGAAATGTAAGTATTCGCTAAATTATTCACGAGTCTGTGCCTTAAATGAGTAAAGTGAAAAAGCGCCACAGGCTAGTATTTTTTTAATTCGATTTCAGACTGCGGAGGTCTGTGTGTACGGCTATTCACTTTTATTGCTCAAATACACAAATCTGCTCCGTGTGTTTTTACCTCTGCCTCCTTCTGTAGCAGGATCTGGTCCTTATCCAACACCTCCTCATCCACAGCTCTGCAGGACAAATGAAGTGATTAATATTATACTCCTTGAATGAAACAGGAATAACTAACGTGTGCTTTGCTATATCAAACAGGATCCCACCTGCCCGCTCTCTTCAGCCTCTCTGAGCGGAAGTTCTCATAATGCAGATCCTGAGTTACCTCTTGGAGGTCTTGCATGTGGGTCCTGCAACAGACAGACACCAATCACATCTTCAAACACTAGAAGGCAGCAGAGCTCAGATTTTAACTTCATCTCTGGCAGCGACAAGCTTAACAGGGCAAAAGTTCTGGTTAGATTTTATAAGACTTTACTTTTCAAATTATAACCAAAGATACTCACACAAGCATGGTGCGCAACTTCAGGAAGTCATTGTGCTCAGGATTCTCCACCTCTACTACACCCCAGGGGTACAGACGACCACGGATCTTCTTCCCCTTCACTTCGATAAGCTGGTTGGAGCCAATGACAGCAAAGGGAATGCTTGCCTGGGAAAGGAAGTCAAATGTTAGTGGACACCCAAAGGCAGAGGAAAGAATATGTGGAAAATCAAGGTATCAGCGAGGAGCAGTTCCAGTGAAGGGAAGCAAAGATGAATGGGAAGAGAATGCTGAACCAGCAGAGGGAAATGGCGGACCTCCTATGGGAAAAGCTGGCATTAGCTGAGTGCCCCTCTCTCACCTTCAGGACTCTAGTCTGCTCCTTGAACTCCTCGTCCTCGTCAGAGTCGGCATCAGGTAGCTGATAAATTTTTATCCCTTGTTCTGCAATCTCATCCAGGATCTGAGAAGTGGAAACAAGAGAAACTGAAAGAAGAGGCCATGCTGTGGCGTCACTGTGATCCTGAACTCTCCCACTGTGATGGGAATCTCAACTTGAGCCCAACAAATGTGCCACTGCAAATACTACAAGACGGGTCAGCTTGACCTTTACCAACAGGGTACTGCAGCAGTCCAGAAAGCCAGATGTCTCATTTGAACAGTAAAATGTTCACATTGTTGCTACCTATGAGGACCATTTCATTTTTATTAAAACCTCTAATCATATATCCTAACTAAAACAAAATAAACTAAAACAACATCAATACAGCTGATAACTGCAGCAGACCATTCCAGCTCGGCATATAGGTACTGTTCATCCAAACACATTTTCTCTGGAAAGACCAATGTCAACTTTTTTTTCAGGCTGTCTGTCAGCAGGATTATGGAAAAAGGAAAGAGAAAAATATTTCAATCTTTATGCGGATGCTCTTTGTAGAACGAGCTGACAGAGCATCTGCTCTTAAAGCACCTCTCCAGTCCCGGAGAGTCTCCAAATGGTGCACTGGTTCACAGTACATTCACTGTAAACTGTGAATTATATGTAGAAAATAACAGCCGCTGTCCCATAAACAGAAAGTAAGGAAGCTCTACTGAGTAATAGGAGGGTGTGAGTGAGCACCTGTTGTTGCAGCAGCACATTTAATTAAAGACCCCTGTGGAGGAGAAGGAGTTGAAACAGAAAGGTTAGACAGGTGAAAAAAAATAGCCTGTGTGCGCCTCAAACTTCCAAAGAGTCCGAAACAAAGATCTCGCCCTCCTTTATTTCTTCTCTGACCGGTGAAGAAACAAGCTGAAACAAAGGAGCTTTCTTCTCTGCTACCGCTGGGACAGATGTCAGTATTTATTATTGTAAACATCAAAGCTGCATTTTGCTTTTGTGTTCCCGAGAGGAGAATTTTGAAAACGACAATGCAATCTTGTGTAATGGTGCCAAAAAATGTCAAGCGCTGTTTTCCTGACTTTTTGGGGACTTTCAAGTACTATAGTGTATAATAGGATGGTGGTGAGTCAGCCACCAGCCTGGGAAGTGAGTGTAGCTTTTCCTACGGAGTGCAGCTCCTGTTTAAGTCCTTGTTATGGCTGTCGCTTGTTTTCTCAGTGAGCTCTGCACGCAGTGTATGTGAGATAGTGTATGCACGGCGGAGAGTCGGGTATTGTTGTGGGCCAGATCTAAAAACAAACAGGCTTTGCAGCACCGAGAGGAGACTGTGACACCAGGCTAGAGCCTCAGTTTCTCCCTCACGTACTCAAACACCAGATTTACAGGGACGTTCTACACGGAGGCTCGATAAACATCACTCTGGTGAGGTAGCACAGACAGAATTTTGGGAAACTATGCACCCAGCGGGAAAATAAACATGTGTGACACAATGACAGGAAAAAAAAATGAAACAAACAAATCCTGTAAAACAAGTAGATTAGATTAGACACAAATGCAGATGTGATATGTGATAAAACAGAAAGAAATCCAACAAAAAAGTGAACTGAAGAACTGATAAAAACAGAATAACAGTTTTTTTTACAAATGCAAAGTACAATTAAATATCTACAAACCTGCATCAGTCATTGCGCAAACACAAGTCTGTTGTCTGCCATCATCTGTTTCCAGACCTTGTTAATCCTAAATGGCTGTTTACCTGAATTATTCTGTTCTGTAACATGTGCTTAGCACAGGCTGAGACCTATAATCAAGACCGCTAATGGATCATGCGATTTCAAAACCACCACTCGCTCCAAATACCTGTTGTCTCCTGCCGATTTACTGTACACAATGTAGGCCTTAATCCCCAACGCTACACCAGCCTCTCCTTCTCGTAATTGAGTGTTTTAGTTGGCACAGGGATATTGGCAGTGGGAACCAAGTTAACTTTATGACCATCATGTCAGGCCATAATACGCCACACACTCCCACCCCACTGTTATGATTGGCTTTAGTGGTTTGTTCGAAGCTGTCGGAGCAGCATACAAACAATTCAACTCCAGACTCTGCCTGAGCATTAATTAGAAAAGGAAGCCAACAATTTATCGGTTTACATCTCTGGCTTACATCACAGAATATGAAGTGATGTTTGTAGAAAGACTCCATCATGCTGGGCAGCTCTGAGTCCAGTGTGAGGGTATGATATGAAATGGTACTGTTAGGTTTGAAGATAGGTTAGAAATAGGGCAAACGGCAGGTGAGTCATGCCAGACGTATATTTACAGAGAAAAGCTGGTATCACTCAGTTCTTGAAATAGGAGTATGAAATATACTGTAACAGTTATGTACAGCCCAAATATAGCATACCCGCAGGTCTATACATAGATATAATTACACAGGGTGTAGTGGTGGGAGATGTGACTAAGCACTTTTTCAACTGCAAAGTAGGTTGAGCCAACACCTCCAATCATAAAGAAACAAGATGCAAACCCATCATTAGAGGGATTCCACATTCATCTCTTAACCTGCCGAGGGAAAAATATTTTCAGGATTTGTTCATTCTCATAAGCTAAGCAAAAAAAGAATATGAATGACTCAAACACCTGCCAAGCTATGAACAAACATCACTGGAAGGAAACAAACACCAGCCAAAGAAAAGAACACAGAAACAAAAAACGGGGATTGTGGTGATCACTGTAGTACTGGCATTCAACAGGTGACTGCATGCACAAGCAAACACTCCCAACTATTAAAGGCTTTTTTCCTGTGATTGCTGAGGATAGAGCTGAGTCTCTTGGTTTGGTCTGATTTGTATCCAATAAAGTCAAACTGTGGCATGGAACAATACTTGGAAGGAGAAACATGGTGCAAAGTACTCTTGGGAACTCAACAATGCAGACATAGAAGAATAACATTACAGAAAGCCAAAAAGGATTTAAAAAAAAAAAAAAACTGCATTTCAATTCCAATCAACCGTGACCAAGTAAGAATCGTAAGACTAAAGATCAGACCAAGAGCACTTTCAATAAAGTTTATGTAACCTTAAAGATGCATGCCAGCTTCTTCAAGGGAGCGCTGGGAATAAAACAATGCATCCCTGCCAGTAGAAGCAGGACATCCGAGTAGCTTTCAAACCTTCTTTCATACCAGAAACTCCTTAAACCTTATGATGCACTATTCCAATTTCTTCATTAGAGACTGAGAGAAACCGAACAGATTTGTTAAGACTGACCCACATGGAGGGTCGCTGCTTGTTATGAGATTAAAGGACAGGGGTCCCTTTTTTCCAAGGCTGAAGACATTATTAAAGGAAAATCCACAGTGTGCCTCTTGTAAGACTCCAGTAGGTCCAACTGTGTGTAAACTACTGCTTGCTCTACACCTTATAAAGCCATGCACTTACTTTAATGTTTAATTTTTACTTTTCTGAAGGCAAGAGCTAATATAGGAGTACTGTAAAGGTTTTCAAAGGTCAACTGGAACTAAAACTGGCATTGGTATTTAGCGGTTCATTTTAATAGTAAAAGAATGTTAGAACCAAGGTGAAAATTGTCAATGCATTGTTATTTGGCAACCAACTTTTATTTCACCATCTTTGTATACTGGTGCCACTATACAAATTTGGTTAATACGTTACAACCTTATATAAGAGATGCTTGAAGCAAAGACTTTAAAATATATTTTTTTTAATTAAAAAAATAAAAACGGCATTTAATGCAAATGTAATCAGTAAATGCGTTAAAAGATGAGCTATAGCTGGATTTTCACACTGGATAAACAAATATTATGGTCAAAAACACATTTTCTGTTAATGTGTTTCAAGTCACAGTAAATCTCATGAAAAATAGAGTACTGATGGGTCTGATGATGGATTCCTACTTTCTGCGTGACAAAAAAGAAGAAATATGAGCAAGCAGCAATATAGTCTTACAAAAAATAAAAGGGACAGTACTGTTAAACAACACCATGATAAAAATGGTCAAAAAGCTGTCTAGAAAGGTATGACCCCTTAAGACTTTTCCAAACTCATAACAAGACTTCTGATTCTCTCTCACAAAATCAAAGAACGTAGCTTTTAATGAAATCTGTCAACAAATATTGACACTTGTTAGAGAGTACTGAACTCGTTGTATCTTTGTAAATAACATGCCAGAAAACACATTTCACATACCTTCACATATAAACCTACTATTTAGCTTTCAAATACAACCTCAAGACACATGAGACCGAACACTTTTGTCTTGCAAGGAAACGCCTTTCAGCTAACCGGCTCTCTCCTGCCTGCCGGGAGTCTGAGGGGGTGAAGGAGCCCCAACAATACCTGATCTGAGGGGGTCGGAGGGGGATTTAGATCTCATACCAGCCATCTAACCAAACACACACACACACACACACACACACACACACACACACACACGCACACACACACCTAAGTGCTAACATACTGTGTTCAACTGGTATAATCTGGCGTTAGTAGCAGGAACAGAGCTTGTATGTTACGTGCATGGAGCCTTGTAGCTCAAGGAGGTCAGTGATTCACCAAAGTAAAAGAACAACAACAAGACATGTTTAAAAAAGCAATTGTGACCAAACAATCTACAGACTAAATCCCCCAGAAAGTTCCCTTAAAAGTACAAAACGAATTGTGACACACAGCAGCACCAGTAGAACACCACAACACACAGAAACACTATCTAGAAATATTTTGTTGGTCCAGATTTGAATGTTTTTAAATTGAGGTACTGATGTAAAGTACAAAGGAAGTCCTACAGTCATAGTACCACGAAGGTATCGTATGAGTAATAGTGAACAAACAAACACACAGCCACCCACACTCCTATTGTCTGGGCTAAGCATTAGTACAGTTAAGACCACCCACCTTTCCTTTGATCAAAGAGCATACAGAGAGATACAATTGAGCCATTCACGTAATCTTGTATTTATGTGAGATTTAGAAGAGGACAGCCACAAACCAAGTTTTGTGACTTTATTTTCTAATCAAAAGGGACTCAACAGCTTCAAGTGACTCATCAGCAGTAAGC